TAAGGAGTTTGAAATGACTGATATTGGCTTAATGTCTCATTTCCTTGGCATTGAGGTAAAGCAAAGAGAAGATGGAATTTTTATTTCTCAAAGTGGTTATGCAAAGGAAGTGCTCAAGAAGTTCAAGATGGATTCTTGCAACCCGGTGAACACGCCCGTTGAAGTTGGATTGGAATTGAGGAAGAGAATTAGTGGTGAAAATGTTGATCCAACTTACTTCAAAAGTTTAGTTGGAAGTCTTCGGTATCTTACTTGCACGAGGCCAGATATTCTTTATGGAGTTGGCTTAGTTAGTAGATACATGGAAACACCGGATCAAACTCATCTTAATGCAGCAAAGAGGATTCTACGTTATATTAGAGGTACACTCAATGATGGCTTATTTTATTCTTACACTAATGATTTTAGACTTTTTGGATATTCAGATAGTGATTGGGGACGAGATTTGGATGAAAGGAAAAGTACCTCGGGTTATTATTTTTTCATGGGAGATACAGCTTTTACTTGGTCATCCAAGAAGCAAACAATTGTTACTTTGTCTACATGTGACGCGGAGTATGTGGCTGCAAATTCAACAGTTTGTCATGCTATTTGGTTGAGGAACTTGTTGAATTATTTGGGATTTTCTCAAGAAATTCCCACAGAGATCCTTGTTGATAATAGATCGGCAATGGCGTTGGCAAAGAATCCGGTGTTTCATGAAAGGAGTAAACGCATTGATACGCGCTACCATTTTATTAGAGAGCATGTGAAAAATGAAGAAGTGAACTTGGTACATTGCAAGACTCAAGATCAAGTTGCTGACATTTTTACAAAGCCATTGAAGCATGATGTGTTTAGAAAATTGAAAATGATGCTAGGCATGAGAACTCAAGGAATTGAGTTTAAGGGGGGATGTTAGTTTTATAAACTCTATTTTTTTTAAGGGGTATTTTTTTTGTATTTTTGGGTATTGAAAAGTCATGGTATTTGAAGTGATATATACCAGAAGTGTCCAGAATATTTTTGAGAAGTCTATTCATGTATTTGGGAGACTTATTCATGTATGGTTGCATGGAAAGTTGAACAGTTTTTTCTTGGGGTAGCCAGCCATAAAGTGGCCAAATTTAGAGTGTTTTGGCTAGGAAAAATCAGTATAAAAGGGGCCGGAGTTACTGCCCAAAATAGAGAGTCTCTGTGCAGAAAAATAGAGAGGAAAAAATGAGAAAAATAGTGTGTTTGCTGCCTGAAAAAAACAGCAGCTTGTTCATGAGCAGAAGCTCTGTTTCTTTGTATTTTCTTGAGTGTTTACTGCTGAAAAATTCTGATAAGTTGCTCCCCATGTATTCCTTGATATTGTGATCATATTTGATGAAATATAGAGATGTTTCTTGAGTGAAATTAGTGTGGAAGTGGAGCAGTTTTTCATCTTCTATTTTTGTGCTCTTTAGTAGTTTTTTTTCTTCTAATTCCCAACAAGGAGTCCTCTTACTTGCCCACTTGCACTAGACGAGTCATATTTAGTTAAAGGTCAACATAGGACCTAGAGTCCTAGTTAAATGTTTTTTGGAACAAGTAGAAGCTAATGATAAGCATTTAGGAACAAGAGTCTTACTCTAACTCTACCCCCGAATAACTAGGGATTGGTGATAATTTTATCTTATCACAACCCAGATTCAAGTCCTTTTGAAACACTACTTCAAGCCAATTCATTGTATACTTTTTTTTGACTTGCAATCTGATTTAAGCTTGGGAGTTTCTTTGGCACCTAGGCCATCGAGCAAAATTTTTGTCTTGCAGCTTACTCACCACCCTCTTTGTTCGTATGAAGTGGAGACTCATAATACGAAATTATCCCCGGATCTGTACAAGATGGAGACTCATAGTGCAAAATTATCTCTGCACAGTTCACAATGCAAAAGTGTCGAGCACTCCACATGCATTTCACCTAGTGAGTGTGCATCCTGAGGCTTGAGAGGGAGAGAAGACAAAGAAGATAGAAAAGCTCCTACTCTACCTCCCCTTTTCATCTCAAGCGAACATGTGTCGAGTGGTCTGTGTGATTGAATTGGTTACTTTTTCCAGTGGCCTTGTCTTCTTTGTCTTAGAATCTACTCATATACTGAAGGAATCTTCTCCCCGATTTCCATGCTTTTCAAGTAGCAAGGGATCTAGCTTGAATGGGATCCACCAGGACGAGTGGAGAGAATTGGATATTCTTCCATTGGGTCAACCATTTTACCTTTCTTGAACATGTTTCTTCGATAAATCTTCCTGGTCCCACCATTTATGTTTCTTTGAAAATATGAGCAATAGCCTAGCATTAGGTTTGCTGTTAGGAGTCTAGGACTTTGACTAACATAGACCATTATACTGATTACAATACTGAATTTTTATTGTTTTTTGGTATCAAATCAAAAGTTATAATTTAATTAATGACTTTACAATTAAGCCAGAAGAGATTACTATAAAATGAGATACATCTAAAATATTAGAATTAATGTTATTTACTTTTTTTAATACATAAATTGGACCCATAATAGTGTAGTAACTCAGATATTTGAATCGTATTTTTTAATGCGGTGCTGAACTCGATATCATAATCCTCCCAAGATACTGGTGTTCACTTGCAACCCATTGCGGGGCATTATGTCCCCAACGTCAAATTTGTTAGGTTACTAGGAATCCAATACTAGTCTCTATTGGCTCAATCCTGAGTTAGGCCTGAGATCGGCCTATTTCAAGATCCACCTAAAACTGGGCTAGGCTCCAATGTAACAAACACACCACATCTTTCCAGAAAGAGTACAAGGTCATACAAGAAGAAAAGACTAGTTTGAATAGAGCTTGAATCTGACGAGTCACTCTATTTATTATCAGTTTATTTTGGTTTAGATGTTTTAACGTGATATTAGAGTTGGGTCTTGATTGATGGATAAATTATTTCTCTCACACATTCGAATTTTTTAATCAGTTTGTTTATCAGTCTTGCTTCTACTCTACTTTGTTTGTATGTCTATTTCTATTCAATTTGTTTGTTTATGTTCAAGCTTGTATCGCACGTCCAGGAGGATGTAAAGAGATCTTGCGTCTCACATCGAAAAATCAGGTATACCCAATATTGATTTATATACTCAAGAGTTACTCCACCAATTATCATTTGGCTATGAGTTGAATACTTTGATGACTAAAATAACACCATATATGCCTAAAAAGGCCTTTATGGCCCTGAAGAATGTCATAACTCTTCTTTTCTGTTGCTGAATAAGCGGTGTTAGAACTCTTAGAGGTAGTTCAATGGTAAAATTTGAACTTTGGTAATTCAAAAGTCTCAATTTCAATTCCTTCCTACGTCTCTTATGGCTTAGCCACTCTTGTCCCCTTAAGGACATGCTCTACATCAGTTCAAGTCACGGTGACCAGCAACTAAACTCGAGGAAATAGTCGATCTAAACCTAAACACCCTACAAAATAAAAATAAAAAAGTGGTGCCGGATATTATTACTTGACAATTCGCCTAATGGGCTATGTATTTTATGCAGTACTGCTAGAGGGCACACTCACAGTTGTGTGCCAAAGCCCGGCACATCCTGCAACTAACCTTAATTGATACTAAAGCCATGTTTGGTACTATACAATCCTTATGGGCTAGGCGTATTTGATTCTTCATGGACCATTCAGAAATTCTAACAATGGGCCCAGTTCAGGTTCGGACCTGAAATAATTATTTGCAAGACATGAGAGTTTATTATTATTATTTTTGGATAATAGGAAAAAATTTTGGTATGTTCTCGATGAGTAGAATTACGCTTATGTTGCTTAGACTCATGGATTTGAATAAAATTAAGGACAAATTCTAGGAGCATAAATTTATACACTAGTTAAATTAAGACTTATATTTCGGTGAAAATTTGAACCCACGCTTTTATTGTTCATAGAATTTGAACCTTTGACCTTAAAAAGACAAAATTTTCACAAGACAATAAAGACCATAGAGCCAAAAGTCCGTTGGTTGCTAAACATGAAAGTTATGAATTATTATTTATAGACATTAAAGTTAAAAAAAACTAATGAAAATTGAAAGTCAGTTTAAAATTTATTATTTTTCATATTCAATTTTGAAGAAGCTTTTGGGTGTGAATTGTGTAGTAATTTGTAGAGGGTGTCACACCTTCTACTGAAACCAATGACGAGGCTTTAAAGATATGAAAAATATTGAATTTGAGATCTATAAGTTACTAGAGATGCCACCGAATCAATACCTGTAAGGATTAAAAAATGAATACTTGCTTAGTTTCAAAGGTTTGATGGATATCTATTCTTTTTATTTATGTTTAAATGATACAAAATCTTCAATTTTATAATTATTTTCAAAAAATAATGGTGGGACTGCCATATCATGCAAAGATTTGAGTAGAGCCAACAATTGCAAACATGACGGTTAAGCTTTAGAGAACATTATCATTCATCGAACAATATTAGTTGAATATAATTTATTGACATAAACTATTAAAGTCATTAGATTACTAACAAATTTTAATGTTAAATGAGATTCTATGTCAATCCAACAATTATAGAGGATTATGACAATAAATTATATCTGAATAATATTATTATCATTCATTCAATGGTAAATGAGATTCTATGTTAATCCAACAATTATAGGGATTACAATAATAAATTATGTCAGAATAATATTATGAAAATTATATTATTCTTATCCATTTATTTATTATCATTCATTTCTTTAGGGAGCTAATGAGTCACTCATCATCTACATTATTTTTACCCGTACAGAGAATTAAAAATCACTACCCATTCCAAGAAAAAGAGTAGAAATGATTTCACAGAAAAAAAAAAAAAGAATTCATATATTCTTGATTTTTGACCTGGTAGATTGAAGAGATCACGAGAAATGATCAGAATATTAAAACAACCCCAAAAGTAGTATGATTCCAAATTTTCTCCTCCTTTCTTTCCATTTCCTCAGGATCCAATTCAATAGAGGAGAGGGAAAAATTCTACACCATCGCTGAGCGGAGCCTTGTTCTTGAACTGTCACCTTGAGCTTGTGCCTGGAAACTGCATAGTTCTGTGTACATGTCCACGAAAAACCTGTCAACAATGTCGAGATAAGCCGGGCAATTCAAGCGAGAGTAGTAATGAAGAACCTCCTCAATGTCCAGTACATGCTCTACATTGCTCTTATCCATCATTTCCAATTCCTTTAACCTTTGTCTCATCAAGTAATTCCTTTCCTGTCTCTGTGCTAGAGAAAATGATGGATCTTCTTTTCTTCTTCCTTCATAGCCAAATTTCTTCTTCTTCTGCTCCTCAACTTTAATCGAATAATTGCTAGAAACTCCTTCCTCGTGTTTTTCCACCGTTGTGGATATTGTTTTCTTCTGGCTTTTCTTCTTCTTCTTCACGATCATGTGTTCAACGGTGTCCCATTGGTTGGTGAGATCCTTGTTGAACATGTCTAATTCACAGTAACTTTGGTTGGAATTCATGTTGGCGGCACGACTACAAGCGCAGGGATTGAAGGGAGGGGTCCTGGGAAGCCTTTGGTACCCTCCATAAAGAAAGGACTTGAAACTTTCTAGTGTTCTGTGAAAGTACTTCTTGGTATTGGAAATGGAGGTTCTGATTAGAAGCATTTGTGACACTAGGGTTTCTTCAGACAGGCTTCGGGGGAACAGACAGAAACCTCTCCGTGTATTGGGCTTCTTCTGCTGTTGATTATCTCTTTGAAGCTTTCTCTTTATACAGATTGGGGTTGTGGAGGCATTGAAGGGTGTTTAAAACTTTAAGTACAAGGAAAGGTCGATCAAAAAACCAAGATTTGAGCCCTGATTTTTTGGGTTTTCTAACTTTTCACTTTATTTTCCTGTCTTCACACGCTCCTTTGTCGTCTCTGTGTTTTCTCCTGGTTTGTGTGATGGCTCTCTCTCTCTCTCTCTCTCTCACACACACACACAAAAGGATATAATTATGATGAAAGTTTGTGACCGTTTCATGATAAATAGATTAGTGTACACATGTAACTTCTTGAATTTTACTTTTGATGGTGGAGTTGGTGTGTAGTCTCTTTAGGAGAATGAAAGGAGCGGGTGGTTGTTTCACGTGAATCACTCTCTCTCTCTCTCTCTGGGTTAGCTGAACAGATTGTTAATTCAATCTGATAACTGGTTCATATCTGTTGATGTGATCGTATGCTAGAACCCGTATTAGGAAAAAGTTGAGGATGATTGTCTTCGCCGGTATAGTTTTTTTCCAAATTTCCCTTAATGGAAGGTAGATTTCATTATGTTTTGGCAGTAGACTTAACTTAAATAGAGTGAATCTAACTCGAATTCATATCATACAATGGGAAATTTATAGAATTTAAGTAACAAAAACTATCAATAAAAGTGCTGGAAGCCAACCCTAATTTGACAAGCATTATGTGCTTCAATTAACATTAGTACAAGAAAAAGAAAAAAAGGCATCCTATGCTTCATGTTGTTTTTAATTCATATATTAAAAGATTATTAGGACTGTGCGTGCATGACAGAAAAAATCCTAAACTATGATTTTGTCTGCTTTCTGTTTAAAAAAATAGAACCATTTGAATCAGTTGCTCATTTAGTATTGCAACAAAATGGTTTTAGGCTGTCATTTGGAAACAAAGAAATCATGGAAAGCAGATTTCTTTGAACTTCTTCGTATATTTATATTGCAAGTGGTCCATATTGGTTAGAGGCATGATTCAGCATCCACCGACAAAAGCATCCAAGCTTCATCTCCTTATCTTACGTTGGGTGCAATTTGGATGGGTCAAAGTCTGTTTGAAATGTTCGTAGGTTTTTAATATTCAAGTTGGACTTATGTACACACATCTAAATCCAAGTCACGTAGTCCTTGATTTAGGGCATTGGGTTTTCACAAGTGGAAGTTGTGAATTTTGGCTCAATCTAAATACAAGCTAAAAAGTTTAATTGGTATTGTTAAAAAAAAAAAAATTCTTGATCTTGTATTGCATAAATTATCTAAAGAATATTTAACTAATATATATGAGATACAAATCTAAAACGACATGGCCCAACGAATCATATTCTAAACATGAAATAAAATGACTCAACAGAGACCCCTAATAAAGGGAAAATAAGCAAAATTTATTAAATCATTTCCCTTCCCTAAAAAAAGAAGAAGCCTCTCTCTCTCTCTCTCTCTCTCTCTCTCTCTCTCTCAAAACGAGGACTTCACCAACCACTTTCACAATCCTATCGAGAAATAAAAGAATTCAATTTATCAGGGTTACTACATTTTGAGTTAGAATAATGTTAAATAGATTTAAAAATTAGATTCGATAATCTCAATCATTGAATAAGTAGTCGGTCTAAATAAATGTTGAGACCCACAGTGAAATCAATAATTGACATTATTAAGTCTAATTTTTAAGTACATACAACATTAGTCTTTCAGTTAGCTAGAGACATCTTTTAATTAATTAAGCTCAATCATAAACCCTCAATTATGAGCTACGTTATTTTGTTATTATTTTCATGTGATATCTTGATACAAAGTCCACATAACTCTAGTACATGTCATCGGAAAATTTTACTTATTGGATGATTAAGACCTAACAGGACACAGATTAGACTCTTGGCCCCCGGTGACATGACCACGTCAGTTTCATTAAGGTATGACTTTTCATAAACAATAATTGGCTGGCTACAGACAAAGGCATAGTCTATTTATCCACCAAATTTTGAGTACTTCCTTCCAACCTTCTCATCCTCCACTTTGAGGGCATAAGAATTCTAAAATTCATGACAAATGGTACCTCTTGTTTTTCATTTTTTCTTTTTGTTTTATAAAAAAAATTTGTGGGAATGAAATTGAACATCTAGATCAGGTGGAGAATGGGAATATTTTCCTTTAGGCTCCATTTGGTTATGAAGAAAGAATGATGAAAATGAAAATAATAGAAAATGAAGTGAAAAATAAAAATATATATATATTCATACATGTATTTGGTTACAATGAAAAACTTTCAAAAAAATTTTTTAAAAAATTCATTTTATTGTTTGAATTAGAGAAAAGTTATAAGAAAATATATATTATAATTAAAAATTTTTAAAAAAATTTAAAAAAGTGGATCTTAACATAATTCTGGGAAAAACATCACCACGAAGGTATCTAGGCCAAATTATATGATTAACCAAATTTATACCAAGATTTTTTAAAATTAATAACTAATAAAATATTTTAAGAAAAATAAGGGTAAAATGAGAAGTTAGTTATAGATCAAAACGTTCTTGCATTTCTATGGTTAGAAAGAAATTGATGATAAAAATTAAAAATGGTAGAAAGTAAAAATGAAGTGAAAGAAAAGAGATAAAAAAAGAAAATTTATTTTCTTATATGCGTTTGATTAAAATAAAAAATTTGCCAGAAAAATTGATGTAAATACTTAATTATCCTTAGCATATTAATCTAACACATATACACAAACGATTAGAAATTACAAACTAGGTACAACAAATAAAAAGTCAATAATTGACGTTAAAGTTTTTAACCCAATGACCAACATAGTAAATATTATCAACATTTAGTGCAAAGTAAACTTAAGAGGGAGAACATTATCAGCTTCTTGTTCCTATGGTGCATGGAGAAAAGAAACCAACTGTGGGCAAACTTGTAGATTTACAAGAAAAATTGATGGGCCCCACACACCACTTTCCTGTATTTTCTATCAGTTTTTTTTTAAACAAATATGAAAAAAAAAATATTTTTTCTCTTTTTTATATTTTCTATTATTATCTTGCTAACCAAACGAAGCCTATATAAGAAAAAAAAAATTGGTTAGTTTTGATAAAATCTAAGCATAAAAAAAAATTAATTTTTCCATCATTTTGCATTTTATATTCACCAAACACATGAAAATTAAAAAAAAAAAAAAAGTATTTCTTGCATATTTCCAGACAGAGCGTGAGTCTTACCTATATATGAAATTTTATGCTTCAAGAACAAAATTCAGTCTTTTTTATTGGTGAAAGTCCATTGCGGGAATGGAATTGAATATTTAAATAACAAGAAATCCCTTGGTTTCTTCACAAACGAAAAAGAAAAAAGTAAATTAGGATTATAACTCAAGTGAATGTAACAAAGCCCATGCACTTGGCCCAAAAGATTTTGTAGAAGTCCACTGGAGATTTGTTGGATATTATTCTTTGTACTCCTTTTGCATGGAGAATTCTTTCGGTCCAGTGCAAACTTTTAATGGGAAAATTTGGAGATCGGTCATCTTATATAAACTTATTTAGAGATAAGTCTAATAAGAAAATTTATTTAGTTTTAAATCTACTTTTTATCAAGTTTACTATTGTACCTCTACCCTTTAGAAAAACAATAATCGACGTCTAACTTACCTTCTCCTTCACATATGATAGGTCAATGAGTTATATATGAAAACCTTTGATTGAGTTATTTATAGAAACTGTCTATTAAATATTATAATAATTAACAAAAGTTTTATATGGATGTTGTATATTCTGATAGTTATTTATGTAAGCTTAATGTACGAATAAATCATTAATCTATTAAGTCAAAATCAAATCACAAAATTTCTTTAACAATTCAGAATTTTCTTAACATTAACGTTACTATAGTGACACTAATTTTACTATAATGACATGAATGATACTATAGTGATACGAATGAGATTGTTTTCCTTAAAATACTCAATACCCAAAATAAAAAATTTCACTATTTCAAATAATAACACAAACTCAATCCCAATTTTCACTTACACTATCAATTGTAAACCTTTAGACGTATATTATGTAACATACACATTTAATTTTCACAGTAACATCAAATGTTTGTGCTCAATAAATAAAAAACAATAGGATTTTCACAATAACATCAATTTTCGAAAGATTATAGTGAAAATACAAATTGAATATACAAAATTTCTAGTAGTAACACATAATTTACAGTTGAATTAGGATACGCAACACAAATCAAGAACATCAAGACATCAAAATTCAATAACATGATCTATTTCATAGACACACAATCAATGTATTTCGAATGTCTTGCATAACAAAAAAAACAACAAAATCAAATTATATAACACTTTAATTTAGTAATAATTAATCTCAATTTTTAAATTTGGAATGCCAAAAAAAAATAAAAATTGACAGTTTGAACTATATATTATGTAGAAGTTTTTTAAAACCTTACGATGAATATCAACTTTCATGTAAAATCACATACCTTAACTCTATTTTTAAATTTCAAAGTTGTGAAGATGTTTTGAATATAAAGAATCAACTGTAATTTTGTCAATAGATTCAACAATAAACTTGAAGAATAAAATTGAAACTGGGGTTGAGTTTGTGTTACTATTTGAAATGGTAGTCTTTATTTTTGGTATTGAGTATTTTAAGAAAAATAATTTCATTCGTGTCACTATAATAACACAAATGTTAAGGAAATTTTGTGATTTGATTTTGACTAAATAAACCAACAACTTATTTGTACATCAACCTACCATATATAACTATCAAAATATATAACTTTCATATAAAACTTCCGTTAATTACCATAATATTTAATAAACGGTTTCCATATATAACTCAATCAAGAATTTCTATATATACCTCAATGA